TGTGTTGCTCCATGGAAAGGACGGGTGTCATTGCCCCGTTAGTCAGCCTCATTTCAGAGTTCCCCGTTCACGGTTATATTAGCGGCTCGGGGCTCACGACACCGTACTACAGGGCAGTCCCTTACTTGTGTTGCTCCATGGAAAGGACGGGTGTCATTGCCCCGTTAGTCAGCCTCATTTCATTGTTCTCTATTCACGGTTCCCATGCGGCTCGGGGCTCACGACACCGTACTACAGGGCAGTCTCTTACTTGTGTTGCTCCATGGAAAGGACGGGTGTCATTGCCCCGTTAGTCAGCCACATTTCAGAGTTCCCTGTTCACGGTTATCGTAGCGGCTCAGGACATCGTACTACAGGGCAGTCCCTTACTTGTGTTGCTCCATGGAAAGGACTGGTGCCATTGCCCCGTTAGTCAGCCACATTTCAGAGTTCCCTGTTCACCTTTATCGTAGCGGCTCGGGGCTCACGACACCGTACTAAAAGGCATTCCCTTACTTATGCTGCTTCTTCCGCACGCCACGTAGAGAAAGGGTTGGACTTCTGGGCAGGGACATCTAATCTGTCTCGTCCTTTTTTGCTACCTATTGACTCCTGAAACCACTCTGACTACGAACGCCATGACTGCAAGTGCTTCTGGTATCACATCTATCAGCTGAATGGATAACCTGCCTACACACCACATATATATGTAGTAATCCCGATGTGGAATGTACTGGGCAGTCGTGGTAGTGGGTGCGTGATGGGATTCCCGCACGGGGACAGCAAGGAACAGAGGCAGGTCTAGATGGTAGCTCCAAGAAGTAGAGGTAGACCACGGACGAAGGCAGTCGAACCACGGGTGTCGCGGATGCCCTAAGCCTACGCGGATAGAAGGGGGGGGGGGTGAGAGATCCGACCGACCGTATAACGGCGTCGTTCTGAAAACAACTGCTTTGTCTAATTTCTGGGCCTTTATATACTGGACTCCCGCATATGTTGGAGAGTCCTGATTGGTTCCTATAATCACGCCACCTTGGCCGTCGCCTTGTCGCCGTTTGATCTACCTTTACTTCTTTGTTTTATTTGTCACTTCCATTGTTACAAGGTCGATACATATTTTTATATAGAGATGGGGTTATAATAAATATCAGAAGAAGGTTGTGAACTATCTAACTCAAAATATACTACATATATATTTATATTAATTATTCTGCAGAAATATTTTGCATAAAGATTAATTTTTCCTTTCATTCAGATTATGTCGATTAGGTTTAAATATGATTGATGCATGTATTTCCGGCATATCTATTTTCTGTTTACACTGTTTATATATACTATGTATGTAATTATATATGGACCCAGAGCAGCAGCTTTACCCACCCAAGATAGTGGACATTGCGACTGCTGTGATAGAGATGCATGGAGACATCTGAGGCTCTTCATTGAACACGACAACAAAAACATGTAATTATGTGCTTTTGAAATTAAATAAATAAATAACAAACGTCTATATATTTGATGTTTGAGTTTATAGGTTGGGAAGGTAAGTTATATCCTGATGTTATCTTCACTTCTGCTGACAAGTTGGAGACCCAAGGTGGGTGATGTCATAGATAGATTTCCTATTTACATAGTTCATGATGTCATTCATTATAACTCATATGAAGCAATGTTATAGCCACTATATATCGTATATACAGGGTGTACCAGGTAAATTGGGACTAACTTTGACAGTCCATAAAACAAAAACTACTTGAGAATAAAAACTTGTTTTTTTTTTTATTACGTAGCCATATTCATGTAAAATGCAACAGTACATGTGTGCGCAGTGTAGTGATGAAGAGTAACCGAGAATTTGAAAATCGAGCTGCCATCATCGTTGCTCTGCGCGCCGGAAGGAGCCCCAAAGAGATAGTGGATTTTCTTAAGTTGCCCAAAACCACTATTTATCGTGTCAAGAAGCAGTTTGATGAGGCCGACAGTAACAAAGAGGGGATAGCTACAAGGAAAAAGCACTCGCGTCGATCAGACAGGGTAAGAGGCGAAGAATTTGTCAAAATTGTCAAGGAGAAGATTGATGGAAACCCTGGGAAGAGCATGAGGGCCATAGCCAAGGAAATGGACGTTGGCTCTATGACAATTGTCAGAACTATCCATGAGGACCTTGGTCTCAAGTCTTATGCCCTTCGGAAAGGTCAGTTGCTGACTGAGAATATGAAGAATAACAGAAAAGGAAAGGCTGCTGCCCTCCTCAACAACCTGAAACACGACTCTTTTGGCATGCTAAGGTTCTTCTCTGACGAAAAGAACTTTGACGTGGACCAAAAGGTAAATCCCAGGAATGATCGCTGGATCTGTAAAGACCCCTCAGAGATACCTGTCGTGATGCACACGAAATTTCCTGCCTCCGTAATGGTCCTTGGCGTTATCAGCAGTGAAGGTGATGTCATGCCTCCCCATTTCTTTGAGAAGGGCCTTAGGATGAACGCTGACACCTACATCAATGTTCTGGAGACCGTTGTGAAGCCTTGGATGGACATGGTGGCCGCAGGAAGGAAGTATGTCTTCCAACAGGACTCAGCTCCAGCCCATAAGGCAAAAAAGACACAATCGTGGCTGACACTTAACGTCCCTAGTCACTGGGGTCCTGATATTTGGCCCCCTAATTCTCCAGATTGCAATCCCCTCGACTACTATGTATGGGGCGTTGTTGAGAGAGATGTCAACAAAGCTCCTCATACCACCATCCAGTCTGTCAAGAAAGCAGTTCACACGGTGATGACCCAAATGGACAAGGTCATCGTCGCCAAGGTCTGTGCTTCATTCCGCACTCGCCTCGAGACTGTTGTAGCTAATAATGGAAACTACATTGAATAAATAAAAACTATATCCTTTTATCTACTACTGTGTCAAATTTCATTTGGATATTTTAATTTTTACTTGCAAAAAATTCAGTTAAAATACCATTGTTGAAATTCCCAATTTACCTGGTACACCCTATAATGTAGTGTTCTTATCTATAAATATGTATATACTAGACGAATGACCCGGCTTCGCCCGGGACTCTTATAAAAATATAAAAAAAAAAAAAAAAGTTGGGCAAACGATTTGGAAAATATGCAGAACGCTCATTGGTCGGTTAGATCGCCTGGTGTTGTCACTTCGCCTCGTATTTACTGCCGCGCAAAAAATAGTTCTGGAGATTCTTTACACTTTATTAAAACAATATCGAACTTTCGAGTATTTCTGCCTTCCTGCAGGAGTACATAAAAACGAATAAACGCCGTTAAAATGCTAATAATATGTACATTTAAATATTAGGAGAGATTTTGCATATTGCTTGATATTAGAATATTTTATTTAGTTTGTATTTTTTGCATATTGACTATTGTTTGTTTAATTTTAAGAATTATCATATTGACTGTAACTTTTATTTATTATATATAAAAAAACAAAGGCCAGAACAAAAATTAATAAAAAATACGAAAGCCATTGTTTACATACAGTAACGCTAATTTTGTAAAGTTTTTTTTTTAAATTGCATTGTGTGCACTTACCGTAACTTAGTAATATAAATTTCTCTCTCAATACTTTTGTAAAAAAAGTAACACTCGTATAAAAAGATATTTAAAAAAAAGTACGCAAGCAACTTGAAAAGAAATGCAGAACGCTCATTGGTCGCTTAATTGGCCTCGTGTTGTTACTTCGCCTCATATTTACTCTGCGTAAAAAAAAAGTTCTTCAAATGAAAAAAAAAAGAAATGGCCATAAATACTAATCAAAATGTAGCCGAAAATTTTCCTCAGGTTTATAAAAAGCGACATTTAAAATTTGGTACCAATTGGTTCAGTAGTTTTTGAGTTTATCGCGAAACAGACAGACAGACATTGACTTATATATAGAGACTAGACGAATGACCCGGCTTCGCCCGGGAATTCAGGAGTACATAAAAACGAATAAACGCCGTTAAGATGCTAATAATATGTACATTTAAATATTAGGAGAGATTTTGCATATTGCTTGATATTAGAATATTTTATTAAGTTAGTTTGTATTTTTTCGCATATTGACTATTGTTTGTTTAATTTTAAGAATTATCATATTGACTGTAACTCTTATTTATTATATAAAAAAAAAACAAAGGCCAGACCAAAAATTAATAAAAAATACGAAAGCCATTGTTTACATACAGTAACGCTAATTTTGTAAAGTTTTTTTTTTTAAATTGCATTGTGTGCACTTACCGTAACTTAGTAATATAAATCTCTCTCTCAATACTTTTGTAAAAAAAAGTAACACTCGTATAAAAAGATATTTAAAAAAAGTACGCAAGCAACTTGAAAAGAAATGCAGAACGCTCATTGGTCGCTTAATTGGCCTCGTGTTGTTACTTCGCCTCATATTTACTCCGCGTAAAAAAAAGTTCTTCAAATGAAAAAAAAAAAAAAAAGCCAAAAATACTAATCAAAATGTAGCCGAAAATTTTCCTCAGGTTTATAAAAAGCGACATTTAAAATTTGGTACCAATTGGTTCAGTAGTTTTTGAGTTTATCGCGAAACAGACATTGACTTTTTTATATATAGAGAAAGGTAGAGCTAAATCGTAACATGATTATGTAAAAGTTGCATATCAAGCAAACACTACTGGGTTATCAAAATTCGAAAACATTTTAAACGCGTAAGATTCTTTTTGAAATTAAACAATTTCTTCTGCCCTTACTGCAATGGAAAAATTAAAGGGAGGGCCTGGCTCATCAGTGGTGAACCCTCCCAGTGGTTTCGCCAGTTTAATATACCATTTTGAAATTAAACAATTTCTACTGCCCTTACTGCAATGGAAAAATTAAAAGAATCTTACGCGTTTAAAATAGTTTCGAATTTTGATAACAGATGGCGCGCTAGTGCATCATACTACTGGGTTAGTTTATGGAATAATTGACTTCGTTTGTATAATAAAACATTATATTGGAGTCATATATACTTCTAGGTATTATCATTGAGCTTTCTTCTCTCTCAATATAGCCGATATAGCTCAATGGTAAAGCATTCCACTGCAGATCGAGAGGTCCGTGGTTCAACTACGCATGCCCTCTCTCTCAAAATATTTCATAAAATGACCTTTCTAGATGAAGGTCTAGTTAGTTATTAATATAATAAAATACTGCAAATCAAAACATCAAGACGCGAATGTATAGGGACACTATAAAATTGATATATGTGTCAAAAAACATTAGCGTCTTAATATTTTCATTTGCTATATATAGATGCCACGTTATTGCCTTATATTATTAAAATAAATACATAAGAATAATTAGATATAGAAGATTCTTCTTAGCAACATATGTAGCGATTAACAAAATGAAAGAAGACAAGTTTCTTTAATTATTTCGACGACGCAAGCTTTCGGGCAAAAGCCCTTCAACAGGCAAGATAAAACGACACTATTCGTTGAAGGGCTTTTTCCCGAAAGCTTGCGTTGTCGAGATAATTAAAGAAACTTGTCTTCTTTCATTTTGTTAATCGCTACATAAGAATAATTAAATATATAATCGAATCTTTGATAATATCTTTCAAACAGTGATAAGAAAGCCATCAAATATCTACTAGTATATTGGTTTATTGTTTGATTACGTCACTCCGAAGCACGTTATACATCTTCACGTGATCTACAAATGTCAACAATGTCGTGTGACATCAACAGAAGACGTCTACGTCATTGTCACCAAGGTTGTCGTCATCTGAAGAACAAGCGACTCCCCAATATTGACACACAAGGTTGGTATCTACTCTTCCATTTATGATTTAGTGGTTTCTTTTATATACAAAGGTGCAATGGGACAACTTGTATTCCACCCTTTTTTATGTATATCAGATTCTCGATTTAACCATCTCAAATTTTTTTTATCAAAATACAAGGTTGTCCCAAAAGTTCGTAAACACTTGGAAAAAATTAAATACCAATATTATTCACCGTTATGTATAATGTCTTTGTATTATGTATAAAGTAATTTTATTATGTATTATTATGTATTCGCCATAATAATATTGTTGCACCAAGTTGCAGCTTTGCAGGGTCGTCGACCTTGGTTTCTTCCTTCTTGGTGTTATACACGTTTCCCAAGCGGGTTTCCATACTCAAAGCAAATAAATAAAAGTAAATAAAAAAAAATTACCTTTTAAAGTTATTGCGTTTATTTATTCGTTGTCTTCCTCGTAGGTCGCGATCCGCCGTCTAGGTCCTCTCTCGCTCCAATAACCAATCAAGATATATGTACAATACCAATATTACAAAAGGAATGCTGATAATCTAAATAATCTGTTTTAAATAAATATTAAATATCATATAATATTTTGAATAAATGTAGGGCGCATTAAAATTGTTGTAACAATATTATCCGCTAAGAAATTAAAAAAAAAAAAGGTTTTAAGAAAAACTCACTTTTGGGACAACCTTATATGTCAACCCAGATAGAGATAAGAGAATTTTACTGACTTCCATCACATAAATAGAATAGATTTATTAACTAATTCTGTTGAATAGGTGCTATAGAGTGTTGCATTAGATAATTGGTAATCTAATTGAGGGTATTGAAATATAACATTGAAATTTTTCTCTGTCCCAAGTAACAATTATTTATTTCTTTTAAAATGAAATCATGTTTTGTTTGGATCAAATTTGACTCCTTACAGACAGAAAATCTATGTGTATAACAAGTCTATCTTCGTGAAACGACATTTGAAAATTATATATAAGTAATTATTATTATAATTATTATGTGTTTCTTTTGAACGAAAAATCAAAATATATTTCAAGGAGAAATAACGATTATTTCTAACCTTAGGGATGAGGCATGAAAGGGTGAATTGTGAAGAGTAATGATAAACGGAAAAATAAAAGTATCCAGGGATGGGAATTTTATTTTCTCCTTTAATAGAATATCTGTAGCATTTTTCACAAACGACAGCTGTATTATGGATGATTGGAAAAATTGCATTATAGGGGAAAGGATAGCAAGTATTAATATAGGATACATTTATCATACTCGTATATAATATTTCTTTAAAAAAAAAATAGACACTTCGGCCAGTTAAAGTTTCATTTTCTCAACGTTTCAACAAAAGTATTTTATCTTCGTCAGGAGAAATAAAGAATTTAGCAAGACGTTAAAATAATTTATATATATTTATAATAATATTTTAACGCCTTGCCAAATGCTTTATTTTTATTTATCCTAACGAAGATAAAGGATTTTTGTTGAAACGTTGAAGTGTCTATTTTAAAAATAAAAATGAATGTCGGCTAGGCAACCTCTATATTCAAGATAGTTTCATAATATTTGGTTGAAGACTAAGCACTAGTCTTAGTTAACGGCACTAAGTTTTCCTTTGCCATAAACCTTAGTTGTATAAAAAGGTACATTGTGTAACTTGGATTGCATCACCATCGTGAGTAAGAAATGCTCGTGTTGTGACAGTATATTGGGGAGTCAGGAAAATTGAAACTACCCCGAACTAGGCTAGAGGTAGTTCCAATTTTCAAGAAGCCACTCGCTACGTCACAAGAAACAAGGTAATTGATCTTATTCCTCTCTTATGACAGTATATGATCATGTCATGTTATATATATCTAGTATATACTCTAATGTATATTTAGGATATTTTTGAAGGTAGAAAATCATCCAATTCTTCAAATTCACTTCAAGGAACTATTCACTGGTTCTCCAAGAACTTGAATGCTGTACTTTTAACTGTATTCAACGATCTCATTCCTTGGATTTGATTTGTTGATTAAGATTCTCCATCAGACCTTTTAATGGCTCCTTATTTGAAATAATGGATGGCAAAACATCTTCAACAGTTCTTTCAACTAAAACACCCTGCAATCATTCTTTTCTTATACTATTCCCTAGTACACGTGGTGCAAGCTATGATAATCATGGTGGGGAGAAGTAGGCGACTGCTTTTACTGTAAGTGTACCAAATGTCTACACATGTGAAAAGCAGTTCGACTTTGCTCTTACAAATGTGCCAGAGTCCCGTGCAATCATTCTAAAGCACTTTCTATTGCCATCAACCTTTTTAAGGTTTTCGGCAACAAACGTATGCTCGCTCAGATCCACTTGAATTTCTGCAATTTTGGTAACTAATGAACGTTGTTCGTTACTCAGCTGGTTAAAACCTGCAATTATTTGCTCATGATTCAATTTCTTTGAAGATTTTTTCTGATTTTGTCTTGCTTGTTTCTTCTTTATCTGACCACATTTTACATGTTATAACAAAACCTGTTTATTTTTACCTATTTTCAATAAAGAGTACATATCAAAATTCGAAACTATTTTAAAAGCGTAAGATTCCTTTTGATATTAAACAATTTCTACTGCCCTTACTGCAATGGAAAAATTAATGAGAGGGCCTGGCTCATGACTGGTGAACCCTCTCAGCGGTTTCGCCAGTTTAATCTACCATACCGCTGTTATATTGCATTTTTGGAACTTCCTTTCATAGTGATACTGTTGATAGACTCTTTGAAGGGGTATTTTAGAAGAGCTATGGACATAAGCTTAGAGGTAAGAGTACATAATGACTAACATAATAGAATTCACTCTTCTGGAAAAGGAAGCTTGGGAGTGCATCCAGGAATGAAGGACATCTTTCTCAGGTCTAGCCAGTATACCAGCCAGAAGAATTTACGGTAGGGGTGATGAAGGTCTGAGGATGCTAATATTGCCAGGGTCCTCAATCACATACAGCAGACCGCTGATGTATATTTGTGTGTTGTGGAAGGAATATCAAGGAGTGAAATTGAAATAAACCCGGGTAACGCCCAGGTTAATTTACAATTTTCATTTGAAGAGGCTCGTCTCATTACAAGACCAATCCCAGGTAATCAATCTTAGTTCTTTGTTATTCTTTCTCTTTCTTCTAACCCGGGTTCTCAGGTTCAAGATCTGAGGTAAGTATGTAGGTTAGTTGAAGGCGTATCTAGTTACTTAAGTTGTTGTTACACTACATGTTGTAACCGGAATGTGTTGTACAGGTACAACATGGTATCAGGATATAAACCACGGTATTATATTCAAGGTAATATATCTTATATTCACTCTCCAGTATATATATATATATGTTATATAAAAATAATGAGATATCTGTTGATTTTTATTATCTTGTGGATTATCCTATGGTAATTGCAGTCGTGGTTAAAATCTTGAAAATATAATTATAAAAATAGTTTTGATTAGTAATTTAATAGAACTAAATGAATATATAAAAAAACCTAGTTTGATAAAAGTACTGCCTGGCTTGAGGCGTAAAAAAAGGAAAACTTATTTACATAATGTACAAAAGATCTGAGTCGGCCATCGGGAAAGAGATAATATCTTTATTTACGGGGCTGCTAACAAAAAAAAAAAAAAAAGATTTTTGAGCCCTAATGGCCGCGTAAAGCGGAATATAAAAAAACACTTAACCAGGCTGGAGAGGCTAGGGACAGGATCTCCGTCAGGGAAGAGGCAGGTTAGGCCGGAGGCCATCGGGCAAGTTATAGTTAGTTTTACGGGCTACTAACCAAAAGTTTAAAGGCCATCGGGAAACAACAACAATGAATTTTTATAGGGGAAGCGTGACCTCTGGCGGTCGATTTAACAGAGTATTTGAATCTATGAAATATATAAATATTTAAATAAAATATAATATTTTAATATAACATATATATATACTTTATATATTATGTATATTACTAAATATATATTGAAGTAAACGAAAAAATTGCGCTACAAATTTTAAAATAAAACTACAACCTTTCGCAATAAGTTTCTTTTATAAAAGAAACTTATTGCGAAAGGTTGTAGTTTTATTTTAAAATAAATATATATTGTCAACTATTCCCATGTTTTACTTTGAACATGTTATATATAGACATAGCTACTTAGTAATAGATTTAGCTATCACTCAAACTTTTAAAATAGGTGCCTGGAATGACGTAATCCAATATGAGTTTGTTTTTAATGCTTAGACATATTATATAATAATAAGGTATATATTTGGTGACATTCTTTAGTAATGCATAACTAAAATATTCCGAATTTTGAAAAAT